GTTCTGGACATATGAGTCAACGACCCGAAGCACGGGACGCAATGAAACCTAAGTACGGCCTCCAGCGACCTCAATGTAGCAAGGTCTCCTACAGAATTCCGTTGCTGCCGGACGGCTCTGTTGTCACAATCCTTCATACTGATGGATTATGAAAATGCTGTAAACAGCAGCCCCGAATCTGTTTGTGAAGGATCTTGTTGAGACAGCGCCGTAGCCGGTCGAAGGCGATCACCCTCAGGCTCAAAGCACGACACGGCAGATCTCCAAATAAATCTCTAGAAGCCAGGTCTCGAGACCCTGCGCAAGACTCAGCCCCACCCTGCGACTGTGCATGCAAAAGCCTGGCTCAAGCCAAGAGCCATCCGCCAGCATGTTGCATGTCTGAAACCATACAATTGCAACCCCATCTTTGACAGGAAAGGCACGCAGACTCGAATCTTCGTTCGTTAGCGTGCGGCCACTCAGCCGCAAGCTGATGCGGCCGGCAGGGAAGTGACATGTCACCCTGTGAATCATCAAAACGGCATGGCGGGCATGGGCATTCGTAGTACTGTTTGGGAGCGTTGGTCATAGGATGATGAGTAGCACGGGGCACTACGGCACTGCTTAGCAGCAATCTCGTAGCAGTGGATCCAGAAAGGAAGGCGAATAGTAGGATGAGAAAGACAAGGGTGCCACCGCATGAGCTGCACCAGTGGCAGACAAAGGCATATGCGCTGTAACGGGTGCTACTGTAGCAGCTGCAAGTGTTCGAACAATGCAGCAGCAGATCTTCCTGTGGCCATGTCTTGTATCCTCAATCTACGCAGCTTGATATTGGCATTTTGGCCAACAAGGACAGCCAGCTCAAGGACTGCTAAATAATTACGGATACATAATCATGACCATTGTACAAAGGAATGGTTTGTTTGCAAGCTCAGGCTCAACAGACCTATGGCGCGTTCCAGACCACTGCCCGAGCGGTGCCACTGGTCGGGACAACTAGGTACTCGTAGGGTATGCAACAGCTTCGTGTGCAGAGAGGCTTCAGTCTACGCAGTCAATCGAAGTTAATGTGCCTTGATTGACGTTTCAGAAGTTGATGGAACCTTTTGAATCTTTGGAAGGATCCTGAGCTTTTTGCCGCTTCGTCCCAGAGACGTCTGCAAGGATGCCCTTCGCCACCATGCGCAGCTCTCAGACGACATCGGGCAGTTGGGGAATCCGGAAGACGCCACCGGAGCCAATCCAAGATTACGAGGACGAGTTTGTGGCTTCCCAGCAGGTATGTGTCCCTCCGTTGACCGACCGCGTCACACCTTGTTCCACGACAGCACGAGTTTCAAACACAGCAAGTGTACTGATGTCCGATCTGCGCGGCCCAAGTCACTACCATGTTTCTGGAGGAGCGTCCTCATCGAGAATAAGCCATATCCCCGATCTTGAGCCGCTGGCGCCAGTACGCGAGGATGGTTGCAAGCTGTGTTTGCCTCTTCTGCTCATTCGAGTGAAGCTTCAGAGCGCAGTTGTAGGATTGTGCACAGAGACGGCGGCAACAGGGAAGAGAATGAACATCGAATGTCGAAGACGGGGCTGATGGAGATTGGAGAGACACAGGGTATGAGTCTAAGCCTTAAGCCCAAGTGTACATCGCACTCTGTCTTATGTAGATATGTGAGCTTGAAGTCGACCCCCCATCACAACCCGCTACGAACCGTGAGACCTCGTTTGGCTCTGTCCGAGTTGCGGGAGCGTCATCAGCAACAACATCACCTTGTCATACCCCATACAATACAACTACCCACCCCAAACCTTGCTAGAACCCTGGTGGTAGCTGTTACAGGGCCCGTAAATGCAACGCGCCCAGTAGCCCAACTAGAAACCTTTCAGTTCATCCTTAAAGTGCCGCTTTCAGAAGTTGAAAAGCAACCCTTACTGTGATTTTTGGAGCTTGGCCCTTTTTAGACGCAGGAGGCCGAGGCAGAGGCCGAGTTCTCCGGAGGCCCTGAGGAGAAGGAGACAGCACTCGCAGAGCTGGCGGAGGCTTCCAGACAGCAGCGGAACTCCTCTGTTTTTGGGTAGAGCTCTGGCATCATAAGGATCAGAGTGTCATAGTGGCCCAGTATACATGTGTTTTCCGAGTCGTACACTAGCAGACTGGAAAGGTATGGGTTCCACAGGGTCCAGGCCGTCTCGTTTTGGAGCAAGTCAGGGGGCTTAGTTTGGTGTGAGTATAGTAGTATGGTGCTCGTGCCTGCGAGTTTCTGCAAAAAGAAATCACAAAACCAGACGTACAGTAGAATTTGAGAAACTCTCTGCTGGTGTTTTGGATTGGCGCCGCAGGCCGCAGAGTGTTGCTTTTGAGAAGGTCTCATGCGGTGCTGATCACAATCAAAGCATTTTCGGACTGCGCCAGGCCGCCATCCAAAAACACTACAGAAGGTCCTCGTAGAATCCACTGCAGTTATATCACAAGAGCTTCTACCCCGACACATCCGCGCAGCGCAGGTCGATCTCGAAGAAGTCCATGAGGCCTCGGGGGGTCTCGCGCGGGTTGGGGGGCTGAGGCCCCAGAATTTCTTGAGGAATGGGGGCTGTACATCGGAGCATCCGAGGAGTTGCGGCCGAAGTTCCGTCCCGGAAAGCGGCTTCGACGAAACCAAGCATTGCTCGTGAGACACCGTCCGGAGCTCCTCCAACAAAATTGGATTTCCAGTTAAGCCATGGAATCTACGGTGGCAGAGTTTCATCTCAAGCTGAGACGGCACGCACCTTTGTCGCCCTCCGCCATGGCAGCGTCCGCCGAAGAGCTGCAAGCCGAGATCGAAGCCACCCGGCGACGGGTGGAAGCAGAGAGGGCCAGGCGCCAGGAGCTCATTGCCGAGACCAGCCAGGCAGCAGAACGGAACAGGCTGCGCAGACAGCTGGAGGAGATGAAAACTTGCTTGGCAGAGGAACAGCTAGAAAATGCGTACGAAGCTGAGCGTCGACGGTCACTTGATGAGGACCGGACCTGGTGGCAGCATGCCTCCGATGCTGCAGGTTCCATTCTCAGCAAGCAACCTGTGATGCGAGCAAGTGGTGGCAACAGCATCAATTGCGCAGAAACGGTCGCCACAGGTGAGTATGTCTGGAAAATCGAAGGCTTCTCCTGGTTGAAGTGCATGCTGATGCAGGAAGAGGAGGACTATGTCGTCGCCTCTATGCCATTCCAAGTCGGCAACGAAACGTTCTTTTTCTCCTACAGCCCGTGGGGAGACTATCTGTGCGATCAGCATCATGGGTCTCTCGCAATCCTGCCTGACACGAAGGAGTGTGTTGCGATTCGGTATCGCATCTCCGTCAAGGCTTGGAATGGTGAGTTTGTACAGTGGGGCGACAAGTGCGACGTCGTCCACCGCGGCGACAGGAACAGGTCGGGTGCATATGGCCCGGATGTGCATTGGCCAGATCATCCTCCTGCTTTTCTGGGAATCTTCGGCCTCAGCCATGAAGAGCTGCTGCAGTCCGAGTGGGTGGAGAACGACACTCTCACGGTGAAGTTCGAGCTCGAAGTCCGTCCTTATGAATACGCAAGCTCACGGCCCTTGAGCCTTACCGCGGAGGTTCCTGCTCCAACTATGAGTGAAGACACGCACGCGCTGCTGGAGGAAGGCAACTGCAGCGACGTGCAATTCATGGTGCAGAACGAGGTGATCCATGCTCACTCGCAGGTTCTCTGTGCACGATCCGAGGTATTCAGCAAACAGCTGACGGCGGGCATGCAGGAGAGCGTTTCCAAAGTCGTCGTGATCGAGGACTGCGATGCTGCCACCTTCAAGGCCTTTTTGCACTTCCTTTACACCGACCAACTGCCGGACGCACAGGAGCTCCTTCCGAAGGGCGCCTCAAGTGCAAACGAGACAGAGAGTGGCAGCCCTCAGTTGTCGCGAATTCAGGCGCTTCTGGCCGTGAGCCACAAGTATCAAGTGAAGCGTCTTCAGCTCTGGTGTGAAGCGAGGCTTTCAGAACAAATCGTCAAGTCACAGGTTTGCGGCATCCTTTGTCAGGCCCATCTCCTACAGGCGAGGCAGCTGGAAATGGCGTGCCTCTCATTCATCAGACACCACATGAGCCAAGTACTCATGATGCCTTCCTATGCTGAGCTGATCAGGAAGTGGCCCCAAGTCGCCCTCAAGGTCAGCCTCTTCTCGGCAGGCGTGTCGGAAACCGAGGCGCTGGCTGTCATAGATGCTTTCGAAAAGCCGCAAGAGCTACAATGGGAAGAGCCGACCGATTCGGGAGAGTTCCTGTACCAGTAGCCCAGGCGGCACTTGGCGCCCCAAAGCTCCGTACTTTTAACTCAAGGTGCTTGTTGAGAGCGCACAGAGAGTTTCACGACACGCACGTGCACAGCTACAGCCAAAGCTGCTGTACAACGAAGCGTCATGCAACAGGTGTCAATGCTCGAAGCTGGCATTAAAGGAGCTCTGAGCTCGAGTTTGGGGAGGGCTGCAGCATCTCTCGTGGGGAAGGGGCGATCAGTTGCTTGATGCCTCGTTCCTGTTGTTTAAGGTAGAAAGACAACTCCCGCAAGCAGCAATCGGCTGTAAACTTGCATCCGCAATCCAATAAGGCTGGAGCTTGTTCAGTGACAACATGTACAGTAGAAATCCTGGCAACACGAACCAACTTCTAATCTCAACTCCGTCCTGTAATTACAGGCCAGCTTCCCAAATCAGGTTCCTATTTCACAAGTATTGGTAGACGTGCTGGTGGTTGCATGGCGGAGCAACGCAGCCAAAGCACGACCGCCCAAGAAAGGGAAACTAGGACGTCCACGAGTTGGTACATATTTGTTTGTTAGTCCTGCTACAGTGGCGCCAGCGGCACAACTGCGCTTACGAACAACCTGAAAGCCTCGGACTGACAATGATGTCCATTTACGTCTTTCTATACACCCGCAGGCTGCAGGGCAAAGTACAGCCGCAGCGCGCTGCATGGGGAAGGATGACTCACAGGTTCGCGTCGTCGGGTGAAGCATGAAGGGTTTGGGCTCGCTGGTGGAGGAGTTCACAGGAGGGATGCCAAAAGAAAGGTATCCAGCATGTCGGGCTTTGGGTTTGGGCGGCTCAGGATTGGCATGGTCAGGGTTCAGGGCTTGTGTCATCGTTTGGGTTTCGCCAGAGCACCCTAGGTCCACTCAGAGTTCGACGGCCGGCTAGGGCTTGGCACAAGTCCCGGGGATGGTTGCAGCATGTTGCAGCAGTATCGTGTGACCTCGTTTGATGCAGACTTTCCGATGCAGTGTCTACACCTACTCCTATCCTAAAGGCGGAAGATCCCGCGGGAGACCAGCATCTCAAGGAGCATCCGAGCATGCAGCCTGCATTTTATTGCAGCTCCGAGGTAAGAAATGTGGAGTCCGGGTATGGGTGTCGGTACCTGGATGCTACAGCTTCAGTGCTATCTTAGGGAATTCCGAGCTGAGCGTGTGGGTATGTGTGGGTGGTTGGTTGGACCTAAGCTCGCTTAGACTTAGAAAATAGTTTCGATGGTCTGTTCTGGATAGAGAAGGCTCTGGGAAGCGCAGTTTGAAGCACCCGATCACAAGCAAGTCATGTCAGTCAAGTGACATGGAAGCCCCATCGGCACGAACCCATGCCTCACTTTCCAAGGAACAGTTCCTGCTGCGGACCTTGTCTGAGTACCGCCAGATGAGAGAGCGATTGTCCTGCCGGAAAATCTAGAACACAGGGGCCGGTGAAGAGGTGAGCAGCGAGAGCGGCTACGTCCAGTGGATAGAGTCACTGAGTTCTCCAGATGCGATTTACGATATCTCGAGTTGTTGCCATGGAATGCGATCTTTATTATTGCTGTTGCCACAGCTGAAGATCTCAACCCTAAAATGTAGATGTCCTAGCAAGTAAGCGGATTTTGTAGCGGAGCCTGCCCTCCTGAGACAAGCTCTCAGAGGTGCCAGACACAAGACCAATGAGTCTGCACAATTCGGCCTGAACAGTCGAAGGTTGGCCCCTCCAAGATGCTCCATTCTCCAGAGTTTCTTTCGACACTCGGTTTCTAATTACGACTGCTACCTTCAATCGTAGATTCATACGGCTTGTTCAGGCACACCAGGATCTCAAGGCAGGATGCCAGCCCGACTGCACGAAGCTCGCCTGCTTCCCGCCCAACCCCAAGACTGCCCTGCAGTCCGAGCACTGACCACAAAGCCCAACAGCGACACGCATGACGGATTGGGGGTGGCTTCCTGTGGTCGGACGACCGCGTTAAGGCCAAAGCTGTGCAGCGTGGACGCACCTGGCTGCCTCAAGCCACAAGCCTCACGTGTGGAACCAATCCGAGATCCTTGAACCTGCAGCTTTTAGTGCTCATGTGGATACAACTGCTGGAAAAAGCACGCCGATCCGTAAATTCCTTGATCAGCTCCCAAGAATCAGATAATACTTGGGACCAGAAGTTTAGTCCTCATTTCCGGAAACGGAGGCTTGGGCCGTTTGGGCTGGGATCGCAACCTCCAGAGTGAGAAGGATGCAAAAATGGGCCGAGTCATGCGCACGGCGGGAGTGCCAGCCTAGGGGAAAAGACGGTACCCATCAGTAGATAGACGTACCAGGAGTGATGGTAAGGCCTCGAGAGTGAGCAGAATGAGCCAGGATCTTGGTATCACAAGCTCACGAGCTCCAAACTATTTGGAAGACTCGGGTCTTGGGGTGAATTATCTTTATCTTGGTGTTCTTCTCGTTGGCTCTTCGGAGTTTAACTTTTTGGGTTTTCTTGTTTAACCTTTTGGAGGGTTTCAGAAGTCAGCCAGGTTAAGAGGTCAGCTTCTGCAGCGTTATCGAATTGCCCCCGGCGCAGCTCGGGACGGGCAAGTGTGAGCGATTGCGGCTTGTTTGGCTTTTGGCGTTCTTCCATCCGTGGGCTGGTGTCCGAGTCTGGATGCTCGAACCTCCCTTCCAGCACAAAGTGGCAACGACCCCTTGCAAGCGGCCCCAACAGACGACCTCTTGCCAGGTTCGAACTGATACGACCATGCAAACCACGGCCCGGCGAATGCCTTATAGATCCTTATAGTATGTTATAGCCGTTTTTGCAACGTCCCCCTGGAGGCCATGGTCCTCTTCTGGCGGCCGAGACCACAGTCTTGTGCTTCGGGGATCTGCGGGCTGCAACAAAGAAAAATCGTTCAGGCACACGCGTAACCACACGAATCACCACAACACTAGCAAGAAGAACCAGTAGGATCATTTTCTTGTGATACGCTCGGGGGCGTGGTGATTGACAGCAAACATGAGTACAGTGCGGGGTTCGTACTGTCACGGCATTCGCCGGTGCATAGTCTGCAAAGTTCAGGGGGTGAATCAGGGGAACCTAGCGCAAGGTTGTGGATTCTCGACCCTTAGACTCTTAAACTGGCTGGATGGCACTTTGCCTGTACGTTGACGTTGCTGTCGCTCAGTGCCGGGCTGCCCAACAATGAGCAACAGGAATGCCTCAATAATTGGCTGCTGGTTCAGAGCCTTCTTCGAGGATTCTTGCAAACGACGAAGATCTCGAGATGCTGATGCTAGTGATAGTGACGGAACCAGTGCGCATCGTGACAGGGCTTGCAACATCTTGCAACTGCTTAGGTTGTGGTGCTCTCGGTCGTGATCCTCTGGTGTTAACGATCATCTACAGCAGCTCGAACCGATAGTTCCAATTGCTTGGTACTGCAGCCACCGAGTGTGGCATGTCCACACCTTAGAGCCTTAGGGAGCTTTGCAACTCTGGCAGATGCCACTTGCAAGATTCCGAAATTCTTGGCCCAAGACTTTAAGCTTCATTCTGATTTGATAGTGTAGACCAAAACCCAGCTGCTGCGCAGCAGCTGCCTGCAGGAGCAGACGAAACTGGAGAGTTGATGGGTTCTGTCCTGATGGCTGGGATCGACTGACGTAACGAGAGAGATTCTCAAGGCTTCAGCTAGCTCGCTGGATGGAGGAGGGTTGTTACTACTTCTGCAAATGGTGCCTCCTTTCGAGCCACATGTTCGCAAGTCCCCAGGAGCTATCCTGAAGCCCACATTTCCAGCAGGACAATCGACACCGCTGCGGTGAAGGCTCCCCTCCTGCACCTTGAACATGAGCGTCCTCATCCGGAGACCAGAGTTCGAAAGTCAGTTTTTTGTCCTGTTGACAGGCCCACACCACGGCAGACAACTGTATCCCATATGTCCGTGGCTGACGCAGGCTATCCAAAGGATGCTCGGCACGAGAGTACCACTCTAGTGCTGTGTTGCTGGCGGCATCGCTGCAAGCATCGAGCGATGACGATAAAGCCGCAGCTTGTGAATCCATGGCTGTCGAAATCGGTTCCTGAAAATCACTGCAAGATTCTTTAGGATTGAGTTCGGTTTGCAACAGGTCAGCCAAGGCTTTAGGACTTCAGGACGTGCAGGGTTACGACCTGAGGATCTGCTCAGCGACACACGGAAGTATCAACGACCAGGCCAGCAGGGCGAATTCCTTCGACTGCCAGAGCCCTCCCTAGTCTGAAGCCGGTCGCAAATACCTGATTTCATGTCCAGCTCGTAGACCACTTTTGTCAAAGTCCGTGCACAGCCCAGAACTTCCTCGAATCTCCCGTGGCGCCCGAAAACAAAAAGCATGATCTGTGTTCACGGCTGTAGTCTATAGCACGTCGTGGTTTCAAGGTTCTTTTGGCGGTCAGGCGTGTCCATGTTGGCAGAACAGAGCGGCGACCTGCAGCATGCAAGCGCACACCTTACGGCCTGAAGAAAGGAACCGGATAGCAAGATCCCTATCATGAACATCCTTGCGTCTTTTTCAGAAAAGCCTGTACCGAATTCCAAGTTCAGAGCCCTGCAATGCGGGCTTGTCCTAGCTAGGTGAGAGGCAAGAATCATGGGTGTTACGGTTCGGTTCGGTACGGTTGGCGTTGGCTGTGGTATGTTTCGGGGATGTGCTTGTCGGTGGGTGCGGTTCGGTACTGCCACCCACCTTCCACCCTCCCGCCTGCCACCACCTCTCCCACCGCCCACCTCCCACCTCCTCACCTCCCCCTCCCACCTCCTCCCACCTCCCTCCCGCCTCCCACCCNCCTCCCACCTCCCACCACCGGATTTAGGGCTTGGGGCTGGGCTTTATGGCTTTATGGTGTTTGGCGGCTTTTCAAGCAAGTTGCAAGTCTTGTCCTGATATCGTAGATTGGGATAAAGTTTACCACATGGGCGGGCAGGGTTTGGGATTGAAGGCGAAGGGTCGAGGATCGCCGACGAGGTGGGAGGTGGGCGGTGAGGAGGTGGGAGGGCGGAGGTGGGAGGTGGGGGTGAGGGCGGGAGGGTTTTGGTTCGGTTTGCTGCGGTCCCAGATGTTGCGGTTCGGTTCGATACGGGAGCGCGGGGTTCGATACGATACTCGGTGAAAGTATTGTTGAAACGGCCATGAGAATTTCCTAGTTGAAGTCAGGAAAGCTAGCGTTTCGAGGATTTCGTTTCTAGTTGCTTAAGCAGTGGGCCGGGACCGCCGGCCCAGATGCAGAAGACTTCAGATAAATGATATCGACCCCCCCCCCCCCCGACTCCCGTCCTCACAGTTGTTGATGCGGTTGGATGCGCCGGAGGTGATGATGGAAACCTCAGTTTCCCCCTCGTTGCCGATACAGTTCTGGTTGCATGTGAGGATGCCTGGAGCCCGCCTCGCCAGCTTTGTTTCCCCTGCATTGCTGATGTGGTTAGATGTGTTAATAATGCTTAGAGCCCGCCAGCTATGTATCGTTTGCCATCCTTTCAGCCCACAGGCTAGCTTTCGTTTCCCTGGCCCCCGCGCCTCAAGTCTTCCGGATGTCATGTTGTGGCTGCTGCTTACGAGTAAAGGAAGCCAGAGAATGCGGAACCATTACGCCGAACACGTGATCCCGTAAGCCCGGTCCGTTCCCAGACCTGAAGGTTTGAATGTGCCCCTCGTGATAGCTGCTTGTGCAGTTGCGGGGATGCAGGCGGGCGACTGAAAGGCCCGATCACAACTGGACCCGGACACCTCGACGACTCAGTGGACGTGCTGGGGGAGACTAAGGCAAGGAACTTCGGGAAAGGAGGTTCTCAACTTTCTGTTTTGGTAAGTGCCAGTAGTAACCAGTGTTGTCCCACGCCTATTCTGCTGCCTTAGGCTACAGTCATTCCAAAGTAGCCAAGGCATGTTGTACACAGGCATGTTGACTCAAATCATCACCTCCACCTGCAACCTCAAGGTGGTGGATCGAAAGGCTTTCCCTGCATCAGATCGAGATGATCCGAGCCTCGGCTACCTTTTGCCCCAACTCTGCGCCCATGAGCCATACCACTTTGGAGTTTGAAGTCCGTCAGCATGGCTTTTTTAATGGGAGGACAGCACTCATCTAGCAGGCTTTCAGAGTCGGCTGCGCCCAGCCTGCCTCCAACATCAGAATGCACACTGGAGCACTTCCAGCGTTTTCGAAGAACTTCAGGAAATCAGTGCAGGAAATACAGTGCCGTCCCGGGGTTCTTTCTTGCGGGGTTTCTCTCCAAGCACACGCGGCAAACCTTGACGTCTGTGTAGGTCTGCGAGCACGGACACTAGGAGCGCTTGGTGACAGTCTTGCAGCTCAAGGCGTGATAGTCAAAGCAGAGACGATGGTCAGGGCAGTCGGAGGCCCTAATGCCGATGTTGTAAATCTGGGCTACACCGTCTTCGACTATGTCGCAATGCGCCATGCCGACTATGCTTCCTCGAGCTAAGGTGGGTTGTGAGTTCCCTCCTTTGCCAAATCTTAGGCTGCGGCTCTCGGAAAACAAACCACCAGCCAACCGAAAGCTAGATTACCCTATTATGCATTCAGATTATTATGATTGTTAGACGAATTACTATGAATAGCAGCAGTAGTCGTCGCTGTGGTGCCAGTAGCATTAGTAACAATAGTAATAACATTATTAATAATAATGATGATCGTCGTCGTCGTCGTAGTAGTAGTAGCAGCAGCAGCAGCAGTAGCAGTAGCAGCAGAGTAGCAGTAGTCACCGCCTAAGGCCAGCCGCCCCTCCGCCGTGTCACGGCAGCAAGATCCAACATTGTTACTTTTCTGACGGTTTTGGGATGAAGACTCCAGGGGATGTAACAATGTATGGGTTTGGTGCTTTTTCAATCTGTGGTTCTGCTATAGAGGTAGCGGTCTCGTGAGTCAGAAGGTACAGGGACGTTTCTTGAAGGCGTGAGTGGACAGCGAGTTCAGTTAGCCCTAGCCCTACACCCTGGCTATGTGGGAGGGAAAACAACCCTAAGCCTAAGAAAAGACGCGCACCGCACGCACGGACTTTGCGAAAGCGGTGGGCGGTCGCTTGCAGGAAGAAGAAGATTCAGCCCGATGACGAGGGGACGCTGTTTGGCCCCGACGGCATGCCACTGCAGGCAAGCGCAAGGGCGTTGTGGGCACGACTTTTTTTTTTAACCAGCGTCATCATTAGTTTGTAAGATCCTCCACGACTCCAATAGCTGTGGAGTTAACGACAAGGCCAGGTGCAAGCAGTAGCAGCCCCTGCCCAGGCGGGGGCCACGATGATAGAGGATGAGGACGCAGGGGTTTGAGTACCCGTGTAAAGACCACCCCGCTTGAAAAGGGACCTCCACAAGAGCTTAGTGGCCTCCTATTTATCGGCGGATGCAGGCAACAAGCCAGAAATAGCCCCCTCGGAGTAGACTCAGGCGGAGTATCCAGAAGGCGGTTGAGGAATCTAGCAGGCTTGGCGTCGACAATGGAGTTTAGGAATCCGAAAGTTGTTGGGATATTGTGCGGGGCTCAAGTGTCCAGCAGCTCAGCTTGCAAGGAAATTACAGAGAGCAGAATCCGCTTCCTGCGTCAGGACGGCCACTTGAAGCCCAAAGTGGAGGATCACCAGAAGGCCCAGAGATACCCGAAATGTCGAAGATGCATCTTTCCAAGTTTGCCCGAAGTGCATCTGAACAAACTGGAGGTCGAGATGCACGACCAGGGCTGGTTCCATGCAGAGAGCAACCGCTATGAGCAGGATGATTGCACGACTGCAGCAACTCGTAACTGTAAACCTGGAATCCAGGTGCTGGGATGAGGGTATTATTGTTGGTGCGATTTGTTGTTCTTCCTCGCCTTGTTGACAAATCTTTATGAGAACTCCCTAGAACATTCATGATATGGTACTGTGGAGGGTGGGGCTCTGCGTTCAAATGTTTTCCAGCTAGTGCCCCTGCTGCCGGTGTAGCATCGATGTTTCTTTCCGTCACAACTTCTAATCCCCCTTGAAGGAGGAGCTGGCGAAGGCTCGGATTGCTTGTTGCTTCCGATTGGGTGGGCATGTGGGCTACACATCGCCTGAAATCTAGAACGGCTCATCCAACAAGACTTTATCTCATTCCACAAGCTCACGAAAAAATGACACTTCGGTACTTCTAGACTAGACACAATGCTGTCAGGGTGCACGATCTCTTGCAACCTGAAATAAAGCCTGCATCGCAACCAGATGCACATCGTCAGCATTTGCGACGCCGTGCGGCAGCGGCAGGCAAGTGAAAGTGATTCTTTCTCAGGATGCTCAAGCTGTTTTGATTACCTCATGCGGCATTGCCTGTGCAAGCTCGGCATAGCCCCTTCTCCCTAAGCCAATGCCCTGCTGACGGCAGGGCGTCGGGCTTTGCCGTGATGGGCGCTGGACCAACAGCAACTTTGCAAAAGTTGGACGAAGCATTTGGAAGTTGCTTATGTTCAGGCCGCGGATTCGTCATGCAGGCGTCCGAAGCTGTTGGCAGGAGTGCAGGATTGTGAGGTTCTCGGATTTGGAGCACGCCGTGCGAGGCTTCTTCGCACCTGCAAAACAAGACCCTTTGCTATCATGCAACGGTAAAGATGATGTGGTGGCTTTTCTTCGCGTGCATGGAATGACACCAGCCCAGCTAGCTTGAGAATTCTTCCGGCTTCTTTGATGACGATGCTGCCGGAAGTGGGAGGCAACTTTGGAAACTGTGAGTATGGTATGGGATCCCTTGAAACTTCAAAATGCAAGATTCTTCGGCGGCTTTTCTTACCGACGACGCCAGCCTCTGATCTGTCTCTGTACTACGCAGCGACCACCACCACTAGTATACACGTCGCTGCTGCTGCTGCCCGCGCTGGTTGTTGGAGCATTCGCAGCTTCAGGCCCGCATGAGTTCCCAGACCTCGGCCTGACGGGCACCGTGCTGTCGAATGTCACTCGGCACAGAGCAGGGACGGGTCAGGATCCTTGTTGTGCAACCCTTAGCCCATTGAAAAATTGAACCAAGCCCTGCGGAGCCTTTGAGGGCAAAGGTTTCGAGGTGCCCCGTCTGCTTGCTCGACTTTTGTACTTACTCCCTGCCACTCCACCACCTACCAGATCCTATGTGAACGAATAAGACGACTGCACAAAATGAACAGGCACTGAACCTGGCGGCCACGCTCCTAAAAGCCTTTGGCATTCGCCCCCCAGGTGAACGCTTGCCCAAAAAGGGCAACGAAGTTTCCTTTGAGTTGATAGCATGCGGGCCTTCGCTGGGGTTCGGCCACAAGAGTTTAGTGAGAGACATCAAAATGGGGGTTTCCGAAAATGGGGAAAAAAATATAGTACCCTTAATAGCAGGATCCTTATTGTAAGGACCCCAAAATAAGGTAACCTAATTTTCGGAAAATCCCAAATCGTGACCAGGGCATCCTCCAGTGTGCTGTGAGAGGCGTTGGTGCCCTTCCCGCCCAACGATCAGCAGTGCTGGCCTTAGCCCAACTTAGCTTTGAGTCGAGCTGCGTGCGATAGCTCGCTGTGGCTTCGAAACAGAAGTCTGGAAGTAGAAAGTAGAGGGGGCAGCAGCTGTGCTTATACCTAAATCTCAGAAGGGGCCGGAATTTGCCAGCTACCAGCCCAACATGCGGTGGCAGAGCCGTGTCCGTACATGTGATAGCAGCAACAGCGTATTTAGCAAGAGGGGTGCTTTCAGGCAGCAAGGCTCCCATTGTTTGGGAGTTACCTTGAACAACATCAACGACAAGCATGACTTGAACCAGTGACATCAAGCGTACCAATGTAGCACCCTGTTACCATATGCTAGGGTTTCAAGTCTCTAGAACGTACACATCCGTAACATAGCGAGCCGCAGTGGGCTACTGTGATTCAGCTGCGACACCTGGCTTGGGTGTGGAGCCTCGCTGGTTCAGTTGGAAACTGCAAAGCCCCTGACCTTGGCTTCGCTGCTCAGGTATTACATCTGTGGCAAGTACGACTCAGACGAATCTTTGCTGCGGCCGCCGCTCGGAAGTTTTCATTACAAGTATAAAGCATCAGAAAAGACCGCTGAAGCGATAAGCTCACTGCGGGCTAAGTGCGCGGACAGCGACTCGCCTTGCTCCTCATTCACAAACACTCTTGCAGTCGGTCTGGTGCATTATTGTTTGGAAGCCGGCTTCAGTTGATGTAGATCACAAGCAGGGCTCCATGTAGGTCTTGGTAGGCGATTGCACACGCAGACACGACCAGAGAGATCGCAGCCTGAGGACAGCAGTCCCCAACTTTGCGCATGATGGGCATGGGTCGAGCACGTGGTTAAGGCCTATCACCGTGTGCACGACACTGTCGGATGGTATGGCCGGTGCAGCACATGGGGTGTTTCTCACAACGTGTAGCCGATCTGCTTCGGCGGTGCAGTTTGCTTGTCCGCCCCGGGTTCTCGGGGTGCTGACAGCTGTCAACCTACGCAGCCCCGCGAAAGGTTGGTAGACTTCGCTCAGCATGCAGATGCCGTACACCTCTTCGATGAGTTCAGCAGTGTCGCGGCTGTAACCGTTGATAAGGTCCCTGATGGGGGGTGGCTCAGAGTTGCGCCACGTCACTGCGTACACAGCTGCAGCGCTGCTTGAAGGGAGAGCCGAGCCTAGAATGCGGGGGTCACCCGCTTGGCACTGAGCCCGGCAACCAGACTCGTCCTCACAACTAAGGCAAGAGTCACTGCGGCAGGGTCTACCAGGGTGCGCTGGACAATGGCTACTTCGTAGAAGCTTTGCAGGCACTCGCTGAGCATCATGTGGTTTCCTCGGTCTGAGGCTGCTTGTGCCTGGGTCGTTTCTTTCGTTACAACTTGGACACTGTAAAGAGATGTAGGCCGTGGTATCCAGAAGCTGTATCCCGCTGTGGCTGTGTAGTGCTAGGCCTGCAGTTCGGCCTGTTGCGTTTGTCGTTTTGGGTTTTTTGTAGTAGGTTGCAGGGAGAGTTCAGCCCTGTGTGCACAGCAGTAGTCAGCAGCAATAGCTGAATATGTCGAGCCTGGAGTTCGAGCCCAGAATCGCGGCGGGGGTAGGGGGGGGGGGGATTGCCTCTCAGGGCAAGTAGGCCACAGCGCAAGCGTCAAGAGATGCCCGAGAGGCAGGACGACACCCCACTAACAATGAAAGGCCATATCGCTGCGACCGAAGCTCGTCAAGCAGCTCTTCTATGCTTGGCAAGCCAGGAGGCACGAGAGCTTGGCAGTTGATTGGTCCACATTGAGGTGTGTGGGTCGAGTTTGGGTGAGGCTGGGGCACCCGACACTGCAACGACAGCACAACTTGCGGCATTCAGATGAAAGTGTGAATGCAACAGAACTTAAGCCTTAAGAGCCATGCCATAGCGACAGTCCCGAGAAGATGGTAAAGGTTCAACGAGGTTGCGGCATGTGCGGGCTGGGAAAAGTCCAGTATCTGGCTGAGTGAGACCTGAACATTTGGGCTCGGTCTGAACGAATCCAATCCCGGAGCGAGCATCAGAAACCTCTCAGAAGCGTCAACAACTGACCTTTGCCCATGCCTCGGAGGCAGGTCTCAGAACAAGCACGTTTGACTTGCAGTCCTGCCGGTCGATGTGCACCAGGTCTGTCTACATAGCGAGGCTCTACAAGCACGGCACCTGGATGCGAGTGGAGGTGGAGCCCTGTCCGCCAGACCGAACGCAGGTCATCCCAAGCCTGGGTTTCACCACTTACTCCGAAAGAGAGGCGTGTCATATCCGGGACCCTCTCAGCGCCTAGGCCCGGCCGCTTCGATTGGCCCCCGAGCTCTGTGGGACTTCAAAAGCTTGTGCTGAGCTCTGAGGACGACTATGTCCCCGTCGGTCGGCCCGGAAGGCCAGGACTTTTCGAAGACCAGAAAAGTGAGAAGGCTTTTGGTGAGCGAGAATTGAAACCCTTCACGCCCTTCACTGTACAGGGTCTGGATTTATCGCCAATACCACCGTAACTCAGGGCGGGTTGAGATGGAGTTATCTAGCCGCATCTTGTCAAAGTCTGGTCTGGTCCATTCCACACTACAGCATCCATGTTTGCCTCCGGCATGTTCTGTGCGGACAATTCAGAAGCACAGGAATGACACGGATGTCAACGTGCCAATCTGCTGCCGCTCCGAGCACTTCCCGCATCTCGATCTGCTACATTACCTAGCATACCAGCGCTTGTCGGGACAAAGCTGGCGATGTAGTCTGCAGAGAAGACTTTCAGAGTGGCTTGGTCTGTCCAGATCCTGAAAGCAACCCTTATTTCAGGAATGTCATCTGGCCAAGCCTTATCGAGAAGGCTTATGTGCCTCGGAAGATGTATTGACCAGAGAGCTTTGAAGCATGGTCTTGACGAGCCCAGCATGAAGGCCACCCTGTTCTCATGTGTATTGGTGTCTAAGACACAGCAAGCCTCCCTGCTGGCCCAACACAGGTGCACTGATTGTTCTGTGCTTTGCACATGCCCATCGCCTGAAGTTCTGTTGCTTTCAACTCATAAGCAGCTTCAACATATTCGATCGAGTTGCACTGGCATGATATAGCATGCCAGCAAGTCTACCCGCAACCTGCACTGAGGCAAAGATCCACACCCTGCGGCTGAGTCCCAGTGCAGTTTCAGAGGAGGACATGGGAGGCTCGATGGGACGCCATGAGCAGAGCAACCCAAAAAAGCTTTTCCCGAATTCCGCACTATTCGTGCAAGCAGTTCTGGTAGCCCTAGCAGAACCCAAATATGGAACCATGGAGCGGATTGCTTCGGAAATTGATCTGCCTTGTCACACATCTCCTTGGCCAGATAAAGCACGCAGAGTCCGTCGGTGGTTGCATATATATATATATACACATGTATCTGTGTATGTATGTATCTATCTATATTTATATTATATATATATATATATATATATATATATATATATTATATATATACATATAGAATATAGATTCCGCAGAGGACGCGAAGCCTGGGTGCACACGAATTGCGGGAGCTCCGACACTTTCTATCCACACAAGCGATGCGAACAGCTGAATCCCAAGATAAAACGAAGAAGACGAATCGTTGTGGCATCTTTGTCGAGCCTTGCTGGGGTCAGGCTGGGAGGCACTGAACGGCGGCGGCAAGGTCGAGGACAGTGCTGTCCGCAGGTTGGCCCAGTGAGGGCTTCGGCGTAAGGGAGGCTGCAGCTGCTGCCAGGACGCCCTCGCCGACCTCACAGGAGGCGTCGCCGGCCGTTTCTACACGCAGGACGCACCTCAGCCTCGCTTCAGTCTCCAGAGATGGCGTTGTGGCGGGAACCGGATGCAGGTGGGCCTAACAATATGCCACGCGGAGTCTGAGACTTTCGCAGTGGCTTCAGCATGGAACCCCTGCGATTAACGCCGAGGAAGCAAGACCCTTGAAGAGAAAGATCTCGTTCTGTCAGCTGTAATTCGAAGTCCTCAAACACTAAAGCCTCAGTGATGCTGCTGCAGACACCAAAGGTGTCCTCAAAAAAAGGCCTCTTACTCCAGAAGCCGATTAAAGCTGGACTTCGGAAAGACTTAGGTCTCCCCCGACCGGCTGTTCATCTACATCCACGACTTGCAGCGGGACTTGAGTTGCTCGTGTCTTGAGATCTCGGTTGTGGTATAAGGCCCAATGCCAAAAGCCACGTCGCGACTTAGCCAATGTCGGTCGGTTGAAGCCCTGCTGCAAGCCCCGACGTCCTGCTGCCTGGCAGGACACACTTTTTGTCTGCAGGCCAAATCCCACGACATGTGAGCTGCAGGGCGTCAGGCCAGAAGGGTGTCTGGCGGGACCATGTGGAGCTTTCTAGTATGCTGCAATTTCAGGGACGACGTCTTCTTGGGGTGTCCAGGGAAATGAGATGACGCAGTCGATCCAAGAAGCCGAAAGCACTCTTGAGCAAGAACGAAGCCATAAGTGTGGATCGTTTGGGCATTCGACTTCTCATCCCGTGAGAGTGACGTGGCAGGCTGAATCCGTATTATCCCTATGCTGTAAATCGAGCAGTTCAGTGGGAAGGCCTGCAAGCTGTGTGCTGCGACTGTCCACAGCAGTGAAGGGCCCTCGCGTAGTCTCGCCTCGAGACACGGCTAGAGAGCCACACCGTGGTCCTCTTCGCACTGCTCTCCCCGGTCCGCCTTGCTCCAGACCCATGCCTCCGCACTTTGCAGACTTTGCACATTGCTTTGTCGAATTGCTCCCTCAGCTTCTTCTCGACATGTGCGCAGTCTCATGGGGTGTGTTTCGCTCGATCCCCTTTCCCTCGCAGGCGGCTTGTATCTTCAGCTCTTCTGCGGAGGTCCGGGTGTCTATGACGGTCCCTCGGCAGTGAGGACAAGCCCACGAGACTCCATGAGATGCAGATTTCGATGGTTAGGTTAGATTGAGGCGATGCCCGGGTTTCAAGCCTGCTTTGGTAGCCCAGGCTCCGGGAGATGTTCGAAACACTGAGCTGAATACGTCCAACAAACCTCAGCCCAAGCCTCGTAGACAGGTGGCCTTCAGGACATCACCGTGCCCTACACGCTGTCGCGAAATGAGAAGTATCCTGAACCTTGGGAGCACTGGGCTCGACTCGATGTGAAGATGTTATCTTGCAATAAAAAGAGGGGCATACGTACAAATGCAGTGTATGGTGAATCACAGACCTGTGCTTTCAGATCCCCAGGAGCGACGAGAGGATGGCAACTTGGCTCGCATGCACGATTGATCCCGGAGACTGAAGCTCATGCGGAAGCACACTCTGAACACTAGGTGTTTGATATCTGAAACCCCTTAGGGCCGTCGACCTCGTAGCTAACTCGTCTTCAACACCACAGTGTTCATCCATCATACATGAAGCCACTGCAATGACTGAGGATTAGGAGGCCGCACTTGCTTCTGCATTTTCATGGCTGCTGTTGCTACGTATCCAATGACTGCTGATACTGCACAGGTCATTTATCAGCAACCGACTGACAAGCCTACCAACTCAGAACGAAAACGCTGAAACTTCAGATGCCGCTCTGACTCTCTTGCCCCACATCAAGCCTTCCTTTAAGTCCGGCGCCGGCAAGAGCATGAGGCTTCTTTTGGCTAAATGCCGAAGACTTCCACGAGTACTTCGGCACCATCTTCGAGTGCCGAGCCTGCCTTCGTTTTGTTCATGAACATAGCCAGAAGGGGTCTTAGCATCATGCTAGAGAGGTTGTCCTTGCTGCTCTGTATGTCTAATTGCATAGTCGAGGCAGGGAAACGTCAAGCTCAATCATCGAACCGAGATCTTGCGATGCATATTTTGGTCGATAACCTGCCGATCGAACGCTTTCTCTCCTGGGAGTAGGCCTTCGGGGAGGCGTATGGAGCAACTACAGGCTGACTACAATTCGCACAGCTGCAAGATGCGTGATGCCCAGAAGTCAACATCCTCCAAGGTGCCGACTCGTCAATAGCGGCGATGTCTCGCTGCCGGACATGCCACCCCCGCGATTTGAGACGATCAGGTCTCCTTTTCGCGAGGGGTGGGGGGGAGTGCACTTCTTGTTGGGTGGCATTCCGGGCTCCAAAGTCATTCGCAGGATCCACCAGCCTGAATCTCCATCAGGCCACCGCCTTCAGAGCTGGCGCTCATGGCAGCTGGAATGATGGCACCCTGGCACGCCCATGCCATGCCTATGCCTTGCACTTTGGTAACAGGTTGCGTCGTTTGGGCCGAACGTTTGGATCATCTTCGCACGGTGAGCATGGTGAAACAGCGTTAAGCTTTCGTAGCTGACACGGCACACAAGATTTCAAAAGATCTCCTGGGCATGTGCTGGCAAGCTTGTGGCCATTGGATGACGATGGAATTGTTGTGGCTATGTAACCTGATAATCAGGGAGAAAGCTGGCATTTCAGGCTCCAAGCATGGGCGACATGGGCCTTGCAGGCGTTTTTCGGCCGCAAAGGTAAATTCGGGACCAGAGCCGTGGGTCCTTTCCGGCTCTTAATTGCATTTCCGAGAGGGGGGGGGGGGGGGGCAGGTTGTTCTGGAAATTCGGACTCGATTGATGCATGACTCGGGAAGCAGACACCAGGCAATGAATGTTCGCAGACTCGTAGGCCGCAGGGTTGATGAGACATTGTTGTTATCGGCCCCACGTCATCGATCCCTGAACGTTCAATCCTAAGCATGACGTGGAACTGCCAGGAAATGTGTTCAAAACACATTATTTTGTAATCATGAATGTTGAAGAGCACGGGCGAGTGGATTGGGGGTTGTTAGCGTGCAGTTTGCAAGCTTGCATTGCACTATGTCGCAGCCATTTCTTACCGCGTGCCAACTGCTCAGTGAAGAGCCTCCAGCATCTCGGCAGCAGGCACGTTTGCACCTCCGTGGCGAAGCGTGAATTCGCACCACCATGCAAGTAGTCCTTGAGCTGCTTCGGATAGTTTCTTTGAGCCGCCGCGGATTTCTCGTTCCCGAGGCCGCCATGGACAAACGAACTGTGGGCTGCCTTGGTGGAGGCAGATTACTGTGTCTAAGGATGGAAGGAATTCGGAATGGGTGTCATTCTTGTTTTCATCTTGGGATCGAACTTCAGCATACTTCAGCATGCGCTTGGTTTTGTGATATTTTTGTTGCTCGGTGCAGGCCAGCTGGGCCGAATGATGGTCTATGCTGCTCATCGATTGGGAGTTTCCTTGGCTGAACAAGCGCGATTGTGTTTGCGAGGAAGTAGGTTGATCGGGCGGGCCAGAGAGACGAAGCTGCAGCCCGTTGCCGCCAGCGAGATCATGTTTCTCTGTAGCCCACATGGAACCTCGAGGATACGTTGACGAGGGTTTCGCTGTTTGAGGGATGTAGAGACGCAGGAACCAGAAGTTTTGAGTGTGAGACTGAGTGTTGAGGGCTTTGGGGACTTAAGCTTTGGGCTAAGCTGTGGAGATCCAGGAAGCTGCGGTTTGTAAAATCACATTGCTGTTTTGATGCATCGTGCCTGTGCAACTTAGGTTAGGATGTGCGTGCTCGATCCGCTTGGAGAGAAGTCTCCTGCCGGACAGGTGCCGCCCCCATGACGGGGCTGCATCATATGCCGAAGTATGCGGTGTTGTGCTCGAGTCCATTCCAGCCACTGTCTTTCAACACGACAATCGCTAGCCTTTCAATCCTTGCAACACTGCAGCCGTCCAACGTGCCAGGTTGCCGAAATGTCGGTGAAAGGCAGCTTCCAGGCTGGCCGGTTCTAGTTAGGTCAAATCAAATCTCATCCTCACATTGCTGTGGGGACTGAATGGAATGAAGTTCTGCATCTTATCCGCAACCTCACGCGGGTGGTCAACTTGTAGCAGAAGCCACTGCACCGAAGTTACATTGCGTGCGTTGCGTCGAAGACTCGGTCCAACATCCTTGCCTTAATTTTCAACCAGCTGTAAAGCCCTCTCCAGGATGCCGAGGCTGTCCGAGCATTGGCAAAAAAGTGCGACATCCTCACGCTCGAGGTAGAGCACGTCAACGCGGAGGCTGCCGGCAATCGTTCTAATTGCGAGCACCGATCACGTTACGGTTCAGTCAATTTAAAGTGGAGCAAGAATCACAACTGCTCATCACCCACTAGCAAGCCACCAAAGTGAACGGTACCGACTATTTAGTCATCACCGCCTGGGTTCCAGGAAAAATTCCAGCACCGACCGCAGGAGCATCGTCAACATCAGCGTGGAAATTGTTCGCATTGTGTTTTTAACCAGCGTGCCGCCGCTTATCAGGCGCACCGTGATATCATCGTCACCATCGTCACCATCATCATCATCATCATCATCACCACGACCATACTGGTCTGTGACCTCCAACAGTGCCTTAATGGCATACCTGAGGCTGCAAAAGTCAATTTGCGCAAAAACTCATGTGATGTGTCCAGGCCTCAACTCTGAAACGGGAGACTTGTCGTGAAGCCTTGCCTGACTTGTGCCAATAAACGCTAAACCCGTGGCTAATGTGCTAGCCTTGGGCCAACGTGCTCTTCGCCTCGTACCAGTAACCTCGCCCAGACTTGTCCGAGTGCTGAAACCTTAAACCATATGCCTATAAGTTGGTCGTCACTTTGTCGCTAGCTGAATCTGGAGTGTGTGGAGCCTTGCCTGCCTTGCCCGAAGCCCCTAAACCCTAAAACCCTAAACCCTAAACCATGAGACCTTCGCCTGCCATGCCTGCCTTGCCTGCTTTGTGTGAGAGTCGAAACCCATGAGAGTCTGAGATTTCCGGGAGGTGCTCGAGGAGCTCCATCAGGCAGGAGTTCCGGTTCAGCCGCTTCCCTTCGTGGTGAAGCTCATCCAGGCCTGGTTAGGTGGCTAGGCTAGGCTGGCATAAAAATCTCCTCTTGTCATTCTGGGGTGTTTTCTACAAGACTGTCTTTCAGGCTCACGTGATCATATGTAAAGAGGTTTGTGTGAATGATTCGAGGTTTGAGGTAGCTTTGGGATGCAATGTGCAGATATATTGCAGGCTTTGCAGCAAAGGGTTCGCACAAGCATGCCCAGGCATGCAGGTGCATTGCATCCACGCCGCGAAATTAATAAGAAACTTGCAATGGCAATTGGCACCTGACACCTTTGCCGCCAGGACAAGTACGTCCAGCAACTCAGATGGTTTATGTCAGTTGTCATTCCTCGTGCTTGTGCAGTTGGATCTTTGATCTAATTTGGGTTCTCTAGCTTTACAGGGCAAATCTCGGAGCATGCTTGAGGAATTCCAACACTTCAGACTAGAAGTGTTTCAAAGGCTCCTTTGTGCGTCTTTCCTTTCTAAACATGCCTTGCAAATCTCAGGAAGGTCCATCTTCAAAAGCATGGTGTGCCTTTGCCCGAGTTCGAGAAGGTCGAGTCCGACACTTGTACAGCAGAGCCGACTTTCGTGATTGCACCAGCACGAGACGCAAGCTTCGATAGGCCGCTTACACATGTGGCGAGCGTCCAGTTCTGTTGGTGCGAGACCTGTTAGCTTCACGGAAGATGACCAGGAAGCTGACTTGCACAGCATCGGCGAGCGTTTCGGCTACCCCATGATGCTCAAGAGCAGCCTTTAGCCTGCACCGTGTCGCTGCATCTCACTTTTCGGGGTCTACCCAAAGTCGCCCAAGTTCAGAGTCTCGTCGGAGTATCTCACGTCGCTTCGAGAGCAGACATCCTAGTTCTGTTTGCTAGTCGAAAGATTCGGGTAGGTGTTGAGACACCTTCAGGCACATCATTTACTGCTGGACCTGCTGAAGTTGAGGATACGGTGCCTACGACGGCAAGGGCAATGCTGTCGTGCCCAATGCGCCCCTGGCCATCAATGGTGACAGGGACCTTGCTTGGAAATGTGGGTTGCCACTTCCATCCGGACTTGCCTTCAACGATTGCCCGGGAGCTTCGTAAACCTGCAAAGCCCCGGAATCTTGCCTGATGGTTGCAACAAACATGAGAAGCCGCGCCCGAGGCAGGGCATCACAGCAGCCTTCGAAAAGCTTGGTGGCAAGGCCGGAAAGCATCTCGGCCCCTGCGGGGTCTGGCGTTTCGGAAATCAGGGTTTATGGATGTGTGGGGAGCAGGGCATTGGTTCAGATTCGGACGCAAAATCTCCAAGAAAAGAGCCAAGCCGGGAAAGGGTTCAGCCCACGCAGATTTGTACGTAGCATTTTAGCAGACGTCCTTTTTTGCGCTACTGCTTCGATCCGTGCCAGCCAAGGAAGTTGTATGAACCTTGACAGCAAACAGGGCTACCAGAAGCTGGGCAGTTTGCGTCAGCCTGCATTGTTCAGCAGCTGAATCAACAGTCCCCAGCCCAGCTGAGTCTGCAACATAATCTGCCCGAGAAAACTGCTGAGGTGGAGAAATGGGCTCCTTTCAAGATGGAGCTGGCAGTGATGGTCGCACGCGGTGTGGACGAGACCATGAACGTTACCATGCGCAGCTGCGAGAGCAACTAACAGGTTATGCTACAACAGTGAAACCCAGAGGGGCGCTACCGAAACCCGAATCTTGGATGATCCGTACGGCGCACGCTGTGAAAAAATCCAATGCAGTATCAAGCGCAGCCATCCTAGGTCCTAGCAGCTGCAGCACAAACTGACCACCCCTTTTGAAGTTGTAGACCGAGGCACGTACCCAGTGGTGCATACCGTCCAGCGCGACAGTGTTTGCTTCACCTGCCTGACACCCCCGGTGGGAGCTACTTGGACTTCGTTGGACCGAGTTTTGGCCTGGATGCCTCAAACCCGCGAGACCGTTGCATCCAGCTCCATCTCGACAAGGTTACGCAGAAGCAGCAGGAGCTGGCGCAGAAGATTGCCACCGACGCTATCAAGAGCTTTGGTGACCGGGATCAAGTTTCTACCCCGAATCTGGAAAAGTTTCAGGGCCTGTCTCGTGTCATCCTGAAGCATTGGTACAAGTAAGGCTTATGCCGCATGTCTTTCATACCTGGTTATAGCCAGGATGACGCAGAATCGTATGGTTAGGTTGATAGCTGCTAACGATGTTGATGTTGGTGCTTTTGCTGGCGGTCGTGCTCAATATGCCCCTCGGGTTGACCATGGTTAGCCACTTTTCGGGCCTTTGAACAGGACTCAGCCTCGGACCTACACCCTCACCTGACTTCATCCTCAATCCCATGGGCAAAGCACCGATGGGGAATCAGCACACTCGGAAGAGCATGCAACACAGCACAAATCTTCCGTCTTCGAGCTACCACCGTGCGATGACTCTGCAAGACGATGCAGTAGACTCTTCGTTCTTATGGTCATGCCGTGGCTGTAACATGGACACTGCGACCAGCAGCAATATCTAAAGAACAAGCAGACTCAGCTCCTTACAAAGTAGCCGCACAGCAAGCCAAGGCATTTGCCAAAGGTGTGTCTTTGAACCCTGGGGTACAGAGCATAGTGCAGAGGCGACGCTCGGGGGATCTTTGGTGTCGAGATGTTCCTTCTCGAGGATGGCTCCGTGCTGCTCAACGAGCTACTCGAATGGTGTTCCAGAGGATTTTTTTCACATAAAGCTTTGAGTAATTTGCATCAGAAGTGGACATAGAATGCAAAGAATGCGAGTTATCTCCCATGCTGTGCCCAGCAGAACTCAGGATCGCACCGCGACCGCACAACACGGGCCACTACACCATGGCTGCTGGGCGCGAAAAAGGGTTCAGGGCAAGCCGAAGCTGCAGGATGGCTGCTTAGCCGTTCCGGCCGCCTTTGCACAGCAGAACTCACGGCGTAGTGGAAGTGCGGTCATAGTAATCCCTGCATTGAAAGGTCAAGGCTGAAGTGATGACAAGGATGGTGAAAGATGACAAATCTGATGGCAACAAGTGTTGCTGATCCTGTTGCACGATGTTGGAAAAGAAAGTGATGGAGATGGATGATGAGGATGAGGATGAGGATAAGGATGATGGGCGATGGTGGCACTGAAGATGATGCTTGCGTTTCTACTCGAGGTCCATCAAGATCGGATCTTGAAAGATCAACTTTGGACCTGTCAGGAAGCTTGCGGCGTGGATCAGTTCGAGCAGCACCTGCGGTGTGTGCTGGGCCTCCCCTTGGGCGACTGCCAGCTGAGTGCCCCTGCTAACAATGTTGCAGAAACTCGTGTCCTCAATAGTGTTCCGGGCACATCACGATGTAAGAACAACACTGAACCAGGCTCCTAAGATTGAAAACTGGCTACATGAAGACTTTCCGCCAGTCTGACGTTTTGCGGGCTGCAGCGCCATCAGTGCTGCTTTGAGTCTTCCACTTCTTGTGAAGGATGGTTTGTTGGGTTTCGTGCACAAGAGCATGCGCGGAAAGACTTGCAAGAGACATGTGGGGAACAGATGACTCGCATTTTGGATAAACTTGCCAGGAGTGGGCGGCGCCATGATGGTGAGACTTTGAAGGCAACAGCTTGTGTACTCGTGTCGGAGTCGCCGCTTGCGTGTCCCCAGCGAAGAATGGCTTGTGCGGTAAATGCTCCGACACTTGTACACTTCAGGGTCTTTTCACTACCGGCACTACCGCTGATAAGAAGCAGCCATAAGCGCGGCGCAGTGGCTTCTGCCGAGGAACATCCTCGGACAGGGTGAGACGCCGGAGATGGTGCCCGGGCAATAACGGATGCTGCAGGATGCTATAAAGTAGACAACAGTCAGCCATTTTGCCGGATCGAAAGTAACGGAGGCCGCCAGAAGTTGAGTGCTAGGCAAGACAGTGTACTTCTTTGCCTGCTCAGAACGCCTGATACTGAGGTGACGAAGACCATGGCCCCCCTTCGGCGCGCACTTCTTGTGCCGGATGCCGGCATCCATTGGTATGGCAAGGTGGGTGCACATACTGGTTGTTGTTGGTGCGACTTCGTTTGGAACTGGGGCTTCGGGCTTTTGGAATTTAATCTGGGACGCAGCAGATCCCATGCAACTGTTGAAAATGGGCCTGCAGCGGCCTGCACATTTCAGATTCAGCGAGGCTCTTGAAGCTGGACAGGAATTTTGAGGCGTGTCAAGTGGTTCTGAAAAAAAAGCCTCGGGCTGCTGGGCCAGATTGCGGGCACCAGCTCGGCCACTCATCCCAACCTCCAATGCAGAAGTAATAAATAAAAGCGGTGATTGTTTTCGGAATTGAGTTGTTGAGGAGGTGACGAGAATCGGACGAGGGAGTTTGTTTGCGCGCGTTCGCTTCGTGAGACATCCCGCTGCTTGGTAGTGTTTCAGGCTCCTGTCAAGCTCCTGCAAATTCGTCATTTTTTGCGTTAAATGAGAGTCATGCCTGGCCGCAAGTCCTCGAGAATTAAAGCCTTCCTCCCTGGACCTCGGAACGGAAATCAACATATGTCGTGAGGAGGGCTGTGCCAAGGGCCGGAAGATGGGCAACTCGGATGAATCCTTTCGAACCTTTTCGTCGTTAGCTGAGGAAGACTAGAGATCAGACAGTGTTTCATCGGCTTTTTGGGCCAGCTCACACTTTGATTTGTTCACTACATGGGATGTCTAGCTCCTTCGATGTTTCAGCAGCTCTGAAGCTGAGGCCACATTACTGTGACCGGCTTCACCCCGGCCAGCGCGTTGGAAGAAATCCGCCCCGTTCTGGCGGTGCTTTGGATAACAGTTTATTGCTAAAGCTCTATGGTCTGTGGTGTCATCCTGTGTACTGTACTCAGTACTGTAGTTATGTTGGAGACAGCACGCACCTTTTTTCACGCTGCCCGAAGCCGTCAATGAACCACATTCAGTTTCCAGGCACATCTGCATCGCATAGCAACATGGCACTGTGCATCAGAACTTAGAACCACCCAATCGGCGATGTAAAATCTTGATGACTGCTTGTTTGTAGCATGAGCTTACGCAGTTCTGGGAGTACCAGCTGTTTGCGTGAAGATTTGAGGCTGTTGATGGTGATGATGCCGTCAACAAGCTGGATGCTCCTCGCAGACATCCGAGCGGAGTTGCCAGATTTGTGAATGGTTGCTACTATCCGAAAGAAGCAGAGAGGGTATGTTGTGTACTTTGCCTGCAACAGGTTCCGACCAAGCCCGCGCCCAGCGTGGGGATCATCATGGGCAGTGACAGCGATTTGCCCACGATGAAGGCCCACAGCCCGAAGGTTTTCTTATGTTGTCTTTGCCGACGGCTGAAGCATTCAAAACAAGCTTGGATTTAGGGCCAAGGCCCGCGCTTCGATTGAAAGGCGCGATCATATACTTGAAGATCCCGTGAAAACACCGCATTTGGCCGGCGCCAGCAATCAACACACTTTTCGGCAGCTGCTAAGACCCTTACATTCCTAATCCTCGGACACCCCTCAGACTGAAGCCCTGCTCAGCCTACCAGGACGCTGCTCAGGTCCTCGATGACTTCGGCATCCCATACGAGCATCTCACTTGCCTTAGGCGGAAGATCGCTTCGGGCTTGTGATAGGCGGATTTTGATGGTGGGGTGGAGGCTGTCCCAAGTCTCGCATCCTCAGAAACCCAGCTCCAAAGAAGACACTGGAATGCAGATGATCCCACAGATATGCATTGTCCCCACACTTCAGGATCAGCATTGTTTCGGCTCATCGCACTCCAGAGTACATGCTGCCTGGCTTTGTCAGAAGGAGCTTTGGGTCTGGAAGCCCCACGTGTCCCTCAGGGATCTAATTGGGGCGCTGTTTTCGCTTGCTGTGGGGATCACAGGCAGTTAAGGCGCCGGGTTGAAGCTGAAGGGGCAGCTGCACTTGCATCAGGACACATGTGCGAATCAGCAAGGGTACTGTAAAGTATAGACTCAGGGGAACAAGTGGTTCGAAGCATCCCCCTCGAAAAATGAAACACCTCACCATCATCCGTGTCAGGACTACGAACCTGTCACTTGGGCCGTTATTTTCGGAAGCCGGAAGCTCCCGAAAAATCTCCCAGGTACGAATATGCTACCACAGCGGAGGCCCGAGGCATCAACGTCATCATCGCAGGCGCCGGCGGCGCCGCGTGCTTCGGCGTGGGTATGGGATTGAGAAACTGTCCCGATGCGACTCGAGATGAGATGGTAGCCGTTCAGGACGTTCTGGATGAATTGTGATTTTTGGATGTGCGGGGCTAGAGATCGAACAGCCTTTTCGGCGGGTGGTGGGCGTTTGGATTCCTCAAAGATTCGCCACATGGGCTTTGCAGCACCACACCCGATACCCTGAACCGAGGCTTGAAACGGTGCCAACAGATGATGTAGAAGTCAGCCGTGAATGAGCATCAACAACCCTGGAGCTCCAGAATCCCATGCCAGCGTGGGAGTTCTGCCGCTTCGGCGCAACTGACCATTGCAATTCTCATGTATTCCACAAGTCACTGCCCAATATGATCAATTGCTCAAGGTGTCTCTAAACTTCTATACTGTAGAGGTCCAGATGTGCGAGTCAACGAGAGAGCGACTGGCTGTAAACGGCCGCTCAGGCACCTCCCTGGCATGGTGGCAGCCCTGACACCCTTGCCAGTGCTTCTGGGCGTCAAGATTTCCGACCTTAGTCCCATGTACGCCTTCCCAAATTCAAGAGACCGGGCCCAGGCTTCTTCAACGTGAACTCTCAGGATATCTAGACTCCTTCGTATTCCGCGGTTTCGGCATACTTCGGACATGTTCGGACCCTTGACCTCGCAGCTTCAGGCCTTGAAGGCGGAAGAGTCGTGGAGGATTCTAGTACACCGCACATTGAGGGCGAATGGTGACCACAAATTTGGGTGTGGTGCGTCTCCTCAAGAACAAACCCCACGTGTGTATAAAGTCCACTAAGCCCATTGAAGTTCAAGACTTTCCTGTTGCTTGAGGATTGGCGTGCCTGTCAAGTCCTCCACCCTGAGTGGCAACGACTCGCTGCTCTCCATAGTGCAGATGCCGAAAGGCACAGTGATGTGGCCTGTGGGCGCAAGGTTTCCGTTTTGCAAGTTTGGGGGATTT